GCTCACAACCTAGTCATGTGCCCTGACTGGGAATTGAACCAATAACCCTTTGGTTTGCAGGTCAGCACTCAATCCACTGAACCACACCAGCCAGGGCTAGAGTTTTTTTCTTTACCCAGTATGCTCTAGGGCTCTGATGGACAATATTTTGCAGGAAATACTAAAGCTGGATTTGCAAAACTGAATAAATTCAATGTGGCCACCATATTCATTTACTGAAAATAATGCATTATATGTTATTCACCAACTCAGAAATCTCTAGGAATACTTTTTTACCAGATCAAGATTACATCAGTTTTTCCATAACTTTATTCTTTATGATCTAATTTAGGATTTCCAATAATACATTCCTAGACAGGTGGGAAGATCTCATCTGTGTTTCAATGGTTTTGTGTTGTTCTCACTCCCCATATTCTATTCTGGGCCTTGGATACCTCTCTCCTTTGTAACTACTGAAATTCAACACATGCTTCTAGGCCACTTCAAACCTTGTCTTCTCTCTGGATCCTTTCCAGAATGTAGGTCTTCCTTCTCTGGGTTGTTACTGCACATATTTTCTCCAGCATTCATTTGGTACAGAGATACTCTGTAACATACTATATCTAGTGCTTTTCAATGATTGTTAATTACTTTCATGTGTCTAACATGTCCAGCCAGTAGATTATATCCGATCTTTCTCCATCATTAAAAACAGATCTCCATCCTTGGACCACTACCTGGACCCTAGATTTATTTATCCATCAGTCTACTCAACATCTCCCTTGGGAGTCTAATAGGCACAGAAAACTTAGGGTATCCAAAACAAAATTCTCAGTTTTTACCTCCTAAATTCTTCTCCTCACATCATTTTTCCTCCTAGTTTTTGGAAGCCCCATCCTTCTAGTTATTCATGCCAAGTTTTCTGTCACACTCCATGTCTCATCCATCATGAAATCATGTCACTTCTATCTTCAAAAAAACCCCAAAACACTATCACTTCTACTTTGATTGCTATCACTCTTGCTAAGACATCATCATCCCTGTCCTATTACAATACTATTATAAAATATTAATACTAATTGGTCTCCTTGTTTCCACCCTGTACCCTGCAATCCATTCTCAATACAGGAGCTAGGAGGTATATTTTGAAAATATTAAGTCAGATCATGTCACTCATCTTCCCAAAAGGCTTCTCATTTCAGAGTTAATATCAAGACCTTAACAGGGTGTTAAAGTTTTAATAGTGACCTATAAAGCCTTACAGACTTGACAGTCCATTATCTCTTTGACCTCATCTCCTTATCTTTCCACCACTGAATCTATACAGCACACTGGCCTCCCTATTAGGCCTGGAATAGTACTGTCAATTTCCTGCCCCAGGGCCTTTTCCTGTGCTCCTCCTTTAGCCTGGAATGCTTTTCTCTAGTAAATTTCACCGTCACATACCTGTTGTAAAACATCTTTGGATACCCCTTTCCACTTAGTTTTTGTTTTCCATAGCACTGATAACCAGCTAACAAACTGAAATGTTTACTTCTTTATTTCTTTATAGTCTGCCTTTCCCCACTAGAACATAAGCTTCCTATAGGTTAGACATTTCTGTACCTTTTGTTCACTGCTTTAATGCCAGGTGCTAGAATGGTGCCAGGCAAAACTGGATGCTCAGTAATTATTATTATTTTTATTGTTCAATTACAGTTGTCTCCATTTTCCCCCCATTACTCTCCACTGCCCTACCCAATCCCACTTCTCACATTCAGTCTACCCCCACCCCTGTTGCCTTTGTCCATGGGTCCTTTATACAATTTCCTTGACGACTCTTCCCCTCCCTTCACTGTGATCCCCCTCCCCCCCCTATGCTCTGGTCACTGTCAGTTTGTTCTTTATTTCCAAGTCTCTGGTTTTGGTTTGCTTGCTTGTTTGTTTTATTGATTAGGTTTCACTTATAGGCGAGATCATATGGTACTAGTCTTTCACTGCCTGGCTGAATAAATAAACAGGCAGGAAATATATTCTTGCTAAATGCCTAAGTTATTATTAAATAAGCATAGCATAAAATAAATGGAAATATTGATGCATTACTCCAAAAAAAGCACATTTCTCCTCTGGCATGGACAATTGTGTGTCCTACCGAGGCTGGCAGTGATAGGCTCCAGGCCAAATTTAGCCATTGGTTACCTACAAAACCCCAGATAGGCCTGAAACTCTTCTTGCCTTGGGCACACATTTGTAAGTTTCTTATGATCCCTGTCATTAACCTGAGTGCTTTACACACTGTTTTGTAAATTTTCTCATGCTGTCTTCTGTATGATTAGTTAACTTCTAAAACAGAGTTCATTATCTCTTTACATAGCATTCTCTATCCAATAGTGGACTGAAGATACAGGATTGGTAAATAATCTCTGTCATTCAAAGCATAGACTGATGCAGAAAAAACAAGTTAAAAAACTGTGAACCATAAATTTAAGACACAAAATAATGATAAATTAGCCTTTATAATACAAAGTTATAATCCTATGCTTGACAATTATACTATCAGTATAACACTGCCTAGTTCATAGTATCTGCTCAATAGATGTTCACTGAGGAAAAACATAATAAAAAATGAAAAATGATTTACTGTTGAGAGTACATGCTCATTGAGGAGGAGAGAAATGAGGACAAGGAAAGATGCTATAAGATGACCACAGACTTTGTCTCTTTTACTGAATTGACTCTTTATCTCATTCCAAGAAGGACACAGTGTTTTAAGAATTTTTGTTTATTGTAATAAAAAAAGAGATGGTCCTTGGACTATGTAATCCTTAGAATACATGGGGAAATCACCCAAAGAATCAATTCATTTAGGCAAAATTTAAAAACATATTTTTAAGGAGGGTGAAGAATAATTGGTAATTGCTAGAACATAGAAGAGGTCTTTAATTTAGAAGTTAAGCATCTTTAATATTATCTCAGTATAACAGGACTATTTACATTTAAATACCTATACGTGCCAGCCTCTGCACTAGATGAGTATAATCTTTGAAGGAAAAACATAATAAAATGAATGAATCCAACAGACAATCTTGAGTATATGAGGTTTACCTAACCAAGACTACTGGTGGTTCAGGGAAGGCTTCCCAGAGAAAATGAAAACTAGGATAAAAATTAAAGAAAGAGTTGACATTAGACAGATGAAAAGTTGGAAAAAGCAATGTGAAAGAGAAAACAGTCCCTTGTAGGACACTAAAGAAGATCATTGTAGCAGGATTTCAGATGGATTGGATTACTAAGGATTTGTTTGCATTTGAAAGAAATTTTAATTTTATTGTAAGAATAATGGTGAACCACTAAAGTATATAAGAAAAGCAATGACATGTAATTAAAAGTAGAATCCACATTTAGAAAGATCTGGCTACAGTGTGTAGAATAGATTGGAAGGGCAATGTGAAGAATGGGTGACTCAATGATATTAACAAAAAGTAACATAGGTCTGAATTGGGTAGTGATGATAGAGGAAGAAATTAGGAGGATAAATTTTTTAAATGTTACAGAAGTGAAATTGGCAGGAACTTACTGTACAAAACACTGGAGAAGAGAGAAAGGTCACAAGGCAAAGTGGTTACAGTCAGACAGAGACAAGCAACACTGGAAATGGGCAATCCAGTAAAAACTCTAGTTGAAGACCAGTTAGAGAACAAAGATTTTGTCAATAAGGAGGAAAAAATATCTAAGTAGTGATGAGAAATATAGTGCCTGGGTCTTCCCTTCTGACTCTGCACATTGAAGTCATATGCTCTGTGGCATCATGGAAAGAAACAATTCCTTTGATTTACAAGTTTATACCTCAATAAGCAAAAGCTACTGACCAGCAGCACAAAGTCTAGGTGAATAACCAGCTCTGACATCTCATTGTACCTCATGTCCAGACCCTGTTGTGGGCTCATTTATGTAGAAAACATTGTCAATATAGGGCAGAGACAATGTATTTAGAGTGGTAGGTGTATGTGCTTCTTGATGGCTGAAAGTAAAGAAAGGAGATAGAATAGCAATGAAAAGGTGCAAAATTAAAATATTAGAGCTGAATATCAGCTTAAATCATTTTTTCTATGCTTCATTCCTTCTGAACTAATCAGAAAAAAAGATTTGTGGACCAAAGATTAAGGTTAGGCTAATATTTTCTACAAATCGGAAAAGAGCTTTTGAATTTCTTTGTTTCTCCCATATATTATAGGGGAATAAACTAGTTAATTTATGATATTGGTATTTGCATTGCTGTCATATAGTCTTCTCATGGAATTTCTTTCTTTCCTCTAATAGCCTTAGTTACCACTGGGGATGTGTCAACATTTGGCACTGTCTTTAAATATCCCAAAAGTCAGGTGCTCTTTCATGCCTGGCTTGCCAACATCAGCACCACTCTCCGCCACTTCTGAACTTGTTCTTTTTTAGATAACCCCCTCTTCTTATTCCTGAATGCATAAGCTTTTCATATTCCACTTTTGACTCCTTCTTTAATAATATACTTGTTTTTTTGAACTTTTGCAATGTTTTTATCCTACTGCTCCAGTCACCTAAGTGCAAAGCTACAAGGGCCATGAGATGGACACATAAGAAAATAGTGTCCCATGTAACTCTTCCCTTTTAGAAAGGAATTATAGAAAGTATAGATCTCCAAGAGAAGGCCACTTATGGTAGATTTGTAGTTCCGCTGTAGCCTTAGTTCACCACTAGAGATGTGTTAACATTTGGCATTGTTCTTAATGTTTTCCTGAGACAACCCTGGCCTCCAGGAGGACATCTGGGATAAGAGCTGGCTTATCATGAATTGTTGGTCAATATTCTCTCTACTTTGCCACATCATAAGAACTTCCACATAAAATCCAGAAAAGATTGGTTAACAGTAAAAACATACTATACTCTGCATCTGGAATGATTTCTTTATAATAATCTACAACAACCCTCCCCCTTGCTGACTTGATCATCTCTTCTAATCCTCTAAGACTTATGTATAATCCCTTGCAAATTGGAGTACAGTCGTCCCTTGCTATATCACAGTTCACTTATTGCGACTTCACTGTATTGCCAGTTTAAAAACCCACAATACTTCACTGTATGCTTCACTGGTGAGTACCCATATACAATTTTATATGTTGTTAAAATTACGTAGGTTTAAGAGTACAGAAAGTGTTTAAGAGCATATGAAGTGTTTATAAGAGTGTGGGAAAGGTTTACAGGAGTGTGGGAAGGGTGTATAAAGCCTTAAAATATATATAAATAACAAAATAAATATAACACCACTACTTTGTGGATTTTCATTTATCGTGGGGGTCTCTGGAATGTAACTCCCATGACAGGTGAGGGATCACTGTACCTGAGTCTTCCTTTATGCAGAATTAGCTTTCTCTTCCTCTGTTCCCATAGAAGCTCATACTAATAATTCATTCACTATTCATGGACAATGGACCAAATCAAGGCTACATATGTTCTGCCATATAGTATCAGATTGATATACACACATTTGTTACATGCTTATTAAGTAGTGCAACTCTGCTCACTCTGTAGACAGTGATCCTGAGATCACAAGCTTAGTGTTAATGTCCTCATTGCCTAGTACTATACCTGATATGTACTAGGTAGTTAACATATTTTAATAAAAGAAATTAAACCACTTGCTACTTCATAAGGAATCTTATTTCATGTTTTCATTGCCCAATATAGGAAACCAAAATAAAAAACTCAACCACTGACATTTTTCAATAACACACTTTACTGCCTCATTGTAGAAAACATTTTGTGACTCATAGCCTAAATATACTATAAAAAACATCTTCTATGGTGCTATTTTAAAGTGATAATTATGTATTTCATTTGTGATTTCACCAATTAGAGCTAAAAAACAAATTTAGGTTAAAACGTCTAAAAAGCAAATAGATATTAGCACATCCACTCATTAATGTACTATTTGCAATTCTATTATGATGAATAATCACTTTTAATTTACAAAAGATCTTGACTCTTCCTGAAAACTGTCATCCTGTAGAACTGCTGACTGAGGGTAGACCTGCTAGGGAAAGCAAAATATGTGCACTGATACCGCTATACCATTTACACCACTCCAACTTAAACATAGCTTATCTTGATATCTCAAGGACTAGAATTTTTAAAAAATTAAATACAAACAAAAAAGTCCCTGATATCTTTGTTTAAACAAAAAGTCATTTTAGAAGCCTATAGAAGTATAACCATGATCCTAGATTACTTTTGTAATAGATTGGTATTCATGAATATTAAAACAAATTAAGGTTGTATATATACATGTATAAGTATGTATGTATGTGTGCACACACACACATCTATACACCCAAATTAAACATATATATGAGTTAACTTATTTACAGTGTGCACTATAATTATCTTCAGTTTTAAGAATAAATCTACAATACAATCTCAGATGCTATAACCCCATCTAATACTGATCATTCCTCTATTCAGCGTTCTCTGTGTATACCTTGCACTCTGTAATGACATATCAGCCATATGTGTGTGTCACCAATGCTGTAAGTAAATCTTTATGCTTTCATCAGATGAAAACCACTCTTGCCTTCAGAGACTGCTCCTTTGCCACCTACCTGTGTTTTCAATCACACAACCTAAGTCTCTGGCCTTAACTGTTTGCATACGATCCAGCTATGGCCAATCACTGCATCTCATTTCTCTGATTAGCCCAAAGTGATTACTGCAAAGAGAGAATGAAACCTAAACCAAGATAATTAGTCTCCTTTAAGGTTGGGTGATTGAGTAATTTCTTGCCCAAACTGGACTATTAAGAATGGAAGAGACTGTTCTTAATAGTTATGCAGGGACAAGAAGATTGCAGACTATTCTGGACAATAAACAGAAATTAATGGTAACCTCCTTTCCAGAGATTTTCTAGATAGTGTTGATGTGGGAAGTTTCCTTTTCAATATGGTTATAACTCTGTAATTATGGATGTATGTGTGGAGCTGACAGCAACACTGTAATCTTCTGATACATGGAAAAAGCCAAAGAGCAGCACTGAAGAAAGACGCCAGAAATGAGAAAAGCAGAAATAAGATGTGGAAAGAAAACAAAAGAGAATGCTTACAAGGTAGAAACCCTTAGGTTCCATTGCATCCTGAAGCCATTTTCACTTCCATCCCTAGGGATAGTTCTTTTTCTTTTTTTTTCCTTTTTTTGTTTTTCAAATATAGTTGTCTCCATTTTTCCCCTAACACTCCCCGCTGCCCCACCAATCCTCACCTCCCACCCTCGATCCTACCCCCCTTTGGCTTTGTCCATGAGTCCTTTATACATGTTCCTTGATGACCCTTCCCCTTTTTCACTCCTTTATCCCTTCCCCCATCCCCTCTGGTTACTGTTATTTCTTTATTTCAGTGTCTCTGGTTATATTTTTCTTGCTTGTTTCTTTGGCTGATTAGGTTCTACTTATAGGTGAGATCATATGGTATTTGTCTTTCACCTCCTGGCTTATTTAAGCTAGTAAGAACTGGGTTTCTGTTACCTGGTAAATGTTGAATAGAAGAGGAATTGTAGACCATCTAGTTCAAGTACCTTATTTTATATATAAATATGCAAACTGAGGCCATGCAAGTTAATTGCTTATCCAAGAACCCAAATATATTTCCATGTCAGCAAATAACTCAGATTTTTTTGCTTGCACTTCTATTTCTTTTTATTTATATAACATCTTTTCTATATTAGTATATAATATGATTTTACCCTTTCATATTATAAGTATACTCTAAGAGAAAATTGTCTTCTTTATATAAACTTTTTGATATAGTTCCCATATCCCCTACCCAATTAATAACAGATAAATTAATAAAATCTAGCACATTATGGTCTGCCTCTAATGAGTTTCCCTTGTAATGATAAAAATTAATAGTAACCTATAATTTGTTTACATGTATACCAATGGATAAATTTTCATTATAAAATGTTATTACCTCCAAATACCCACACTTGTTTGTACAAGTATTAATATGTGCTTATGTAAATAATTATGAAATTATAAAAACATATAGTTTCACCCTGGCTGGTCTAACTCAGTGGATTGAGCATTGGCTTCAGAACCAAAGGATTGTGGGTTCAATTTCCAGTCAGGGCACATGCCTGGGTTGCCTGCCAGGTCTCCAGTAGGGTTGTACAAGAGGCAACCACACATTCATGTTAAGAAAAAGAAAACAAACAAACATACAGTTTTCTAGAGGTAAAGATGCTCATTTGGGATCTGAAAGATATTTCATCTAAGGAATGGCAACATAGGAAGGTTTTAGAGACATAAAACAACTAGCAGAATTAAATCTTTGAGGATAGACATCATTTCTATCTCCATAACTGCTGTCAGGAAAGGTAAAAAGAAGGATGGAGAACTATCATTGTATAAATAATAACAATAGGACCAGCCAGATGCATTAACAAAGAGAATATTCACCCAATGTAGGAGCACCTAAATATGTAAAGAAAATCTTGTAGGACTTTAAGAAAGAGGTTGACAGCATTACAGCCATAGTAGGGGATTTTAACACTCCACTGTCAACTATGGATAGATCTTCCAAACAAAAAATCAACAAGGATATTGCAGCATCAAATGACACACTAGATCAAATGGCTTAATTGATATTTACACAATATTTCAACCCAAAGAAACAATATATATATTCCTCTCAAATACACATGCATCATTTTCAAATATAGACCACATGATAGGACACAAAACAACTCTTAACAAATTCAAGAAAACTGAAATCATATCAATCATCTTCTCAGATCATGATGGCTTGAAACTAGAAACCAACCTCAAGAAAAAGACTCGAAAATATTCAAATACATGGAGGTTGAATAACATGTTATTAAATAATTAATGGATTAACAATGATTCAAGGAAGAAATCAAAAAGTATTGGGAAACAAATAAAAATTATCATGCAACAATACAAAACATATGGGACATTGTGAAGGCAGTCCTGAGAGGGTAGTTCATAGCATCACAGGCCTACCTAAAGAAGACAGAAAAAATCACAAACAACCTAACCCTACATCTAAAAGAACTAGAACAACAATAACAAAAAGAAAACCCAGAGTAGAAGAAGGACAGAATCAAGATCAGAACCTACATAGAGTGGTCAGAGTCACAGAGAGACTAATAAATAAATAAATAAATAACATGTTAAAGGGTCAATGAATCCAGGAGCTGGTTCTTTGGAAAGATCCAAAAGAAACAAAATCAATAAGTCTTTAACCAGTCTCATCAAGAAAAAAAGACAAAGACCCAAATAAATAAAATCAGAACTAAAAGAGAAGTAACAAATGATACCACAGAAATATAAAGGATTGTAGGAATAACTACATAATTATTCATATACTATGAATAACTATATGCCAAAAAATTTGACACCCTGGGTGACATAGACAAATTTAGAGAAACATACAATCTTTCAAAACTGAATCAGGAAGAAGCAAAAAATGTGAATAGACTTATAACAACTAGTGAAATTGAAGCAATAATCAAAAAATTCCCAACACACAAAAGCTCTGGTCTGGATGGCTTCATAGGTGAGTTTTACCAAACATTCAAAGAAGAGCTAACACTTACCCTTCTCAAACTGTTCCAAAAAATTCAAGAAGAGGGAAGACTCCTAAATTCTTTTTATGAGGCCAGTATTATCTTAATCTCAAACCCAGGTAAAGACACAACAAAGAAAGACAACTACAGGCCAATATCTCTGATGAACATAGATGCTAACATCTTCAACAAAATATGAGCAAACTGGATCCAGCAATACATTGAAAAGGTCATATACCATGATCAGGTGGGATTTACTCCAGGGACACAAGAATGCTACAATATTCACAAATCAATAAACATAGTACATTACATAAATAAAATAAAAACAAAAATCACCTGATCATATCAATAGATGCAGAAAAAGCATTTGATAAACTCCAGTACCCATTTATGATAAAATACTCAGCAAAGTGGGAATAGAGGGAGCATATCTCAATATAATGAAGGCCATATATGAAAAAATAGCTGCCAATATCACAGTCGAAGTGCAACCACTAGAAGCTGTTCCCTTAAT